AGTTAAAAATAACAATAATAATATTTGCATCAAGAATCCGTGCCCTCACTAAAATCTCCCAAAAATTCAAGAACATTAGAGTGAAGTCAATGCGTTGTTTCTAGGGGTGGGCGCGGGTCGATTCGATCTTTAGAACCGAATCGAACCAAAAATTTTAGGTATCTAATAAATGGAACCGTCGGATCCAAATATAATTATAGAACCGTTCGGGTTCGGTTCCGTTCGATTCGGTTCAGTTCTATACTATAATTAAATTTTTTAATATTTATAACAACATTATATAAATACAACTAATGATACATTCAATGATTTTTGAATGTCAGAGACTAGTAGACTACCTTGTTCAAATGATCGCTACGATCAAAGTTTCGGTTGGCGGAGGTCACAATTTCGATCGGAGGTCACAGTGTCGGCCGACGATTGTATAGGTTTTGGAATGTTAGCGAGGCTGCGAGAGTAAGTGCGAGAGTTTAGACAACGTTATATACTTTAGTGTAGGTGTTTAGGGTTGTTTAGTGGATTAGATCTTATTGGGCTAAAAAATAAAACAATAAAATGGGTAATTGAGCCAAATATTAAAAAAATTAAAAATGAAACAAATTATTGGGCCAAAAATTTGGATTTAAAAATTGTTAATTTGTTTAGAAAAAATTAAAATTAAAATAATTTGATTTACTCAAAATAAAAAAAATTAGAAAGATTCGGTTCTTCGATTTTTGGTCTAGAATCGAGAATCGAACCGTACCCGTCGGTTCTCAATTCAAATACCCGTTCGGGTATTTAATTTGACAAAAACCGTCGGGTCTGGTTCAGTTCGATTCGGTCGGTTCGGTTTGAGAGATTTGCCCAACCCTAGTTGTTTCCCAAGTATTACTTCAAATCTCCAAAACATAATTTACAAAATTTTTACACATAATTTCTTTTTTACAAATAATATGACATATGAGAAAATAATTGTGTTGTGATGGCTTAATTAAAATATGAATTTTAATATGTTTTATAGGATATGAAATAAATATTATTTATGGTTTACCTTGTAGTTTAAACAAAAGTACAATTTAGGCAATTGATTTTTTTTATATTTTAATTATACTAGATGTACACCTTGCCTTCCCACATGATTTACATCCCCTTATTTAATGTGAAATATTGTTGAAAATGTCAAAAGATAAGAGATAGCAGGAAAGAGTATAAAGAAGATGTCAATTATCATATTAATGTAGCATGATTGTTAGCTCCTCGGGGCATAACCCAGTGGTGTAAAGAATAGGAGTGAAGTAGTATCAGCCTTGCTAACAGCGCAATGTGAGGGTTCAATTCCTAAAATATGAAATTAGATTTTTTGTGGACATCAATGTACGAGCAAACTCTTATTCTTTGGCCTGCTGAGACACATTCCTTAATTTACCTCCCTCACATACTTCAGGGACGGAGCCGTGAGGGTTCTCAAAATTGGGGTTCAACCTTTAATGTAGCATGATTGTTTATATGTTTTTTTAAATACACCATCGAACTGCTAACAATTTTTAAATAACAAGATTTTTTGAAGGAGTTCTACTCACATCTACACAAAACATACAATCGACAAATCAAA